AAAAAAAAAAAAAAAAAAAAAAGACTATGCTCTCTTTTTCTCTCCTTACTCTCTCTCTCTCTCTTTCTCTCTCTCTCTCTAGTACTCGCCCGACTGCAAAGAGACAAACGGCAAATGTAACATACTGCAAAGAAACATAATCCCTTGAAAAAACGAACTTGCAACTTGCTAAACAAAGATCACTAGTCGTGTGTGAGTTTCGTGAAGTTCGAAAGATTTTTTTTGGAAGATGTGAGAGAAGTCAGTCGAATGCAGTAAAGTTGTTTTGTTTCAGCTACTCTACCAGGCAACTTTCATTCACTATTACAATCTGTTTTGTTCTGTACTTACTTAGTCTTGATGGTCGGCAATATAAACCCATCTCCGCGGTAAACGCCGAGCGCTATTAACGAAAATTACTCTCGCTCTCTCGCTCTCACTCTCTCTCTCTTTCTCTCTCTCTCTCTCTCCCCTTTCTCTCCCTCTTTCATTTATTTTTTATCGTCTCTCTCCATTTCCTTTCCGACGTCGACGACTGTAACGTCAATCCGGAGACATTTGTACACTTTTCACGTCTGCCCGACCTTTTCCTCCCCTTTCCGCGCGTTCCGCCCGCTGATTACCGCGAGGAAGAAAAACAACAAGACCCGCCGATAACTCGTTAGACCGAATTATTTCGTAGGGGGGCCGCATAAAGAGTTGCCGGTCGAAAGTGACGAAGCGAAAAGAATCATTCCAACCAATTTGTCGAATAATTATACGATACAAGTGGCGGGTGTGTACAATTTTTAATTCTCTTAAGGAGAGTTCGACATCTTTCTCTCTCGCTCTCTCTCTCTCTCTCTCTCTCTCTCTCTCTCTTTCTCTCCCTCGCTTTCTCATCGGCCGTCTCTTATGGATGTTCCGGTTGCAATGGTACGAAACGCGACGCGGGGAAATTATACAGGTATTGAATGTCAAATCATTAGGAATGAGGCGCCGCGAGCGCAAAGGAGCTGAAATGAAAAGCAAACGATTAAAAATTATGACGAAATAAGCACACACGTGTGACGAAATACAGGGAGATCGACGAACACATGAGGGATGGAGGAGGGGGGGGGGGGAGGGGGAATAAACAGACAAGTGGATAATGACGAACGAAATAAAACAACACATACGGCACCCTATTTATTGGCGTACATGCATATCGTGAAATTTTATTTGACGCAAACGTGTGTCAATTTCCCTTCGTTATTCTAATCGATCTCGCTTTCTTCCTTCCGCAAGTAGATACGCTGCCGTTTCCAATTATTAATACACACGCGAACAGAGATACCTTACTTGCGAAGATTCTCAAAGCGAGATACAACCGCCGACATCGTTTTTGCACGGCGATGAACAAAATTGCACTCTCTCGCGTGCCGTAATCGCGGAATAAAAACTGAACGATGGTTGTGACGGGGAGGACGATACAAAGTGTGAATCAACTCAAGATACACAGATTAAACACAGTTTTGGGGATGCAAAGCACATTAAAACGCGTCTCGGTGCGCTGCGGTAAGGTGCGTGAACGTTGATGTACATTGCCTCTCCGAGAATTCGGAGACGGATTACAAGAGAATCATCTCCAACGGCGAAAATGTCGATAACAATGTGTCCGAAATAAATTGCGCTACACACTTTGCATTAAATCGCAATTCATCAAAAATCATTACAAAAGGCAGCGGTAGACTTAATCTAAAAGAAGAAATCAGTCATTTGAAATGTCATTTACAGATATTATCTAAAAAGAAAGTAACATAAAGGTACCTAATATCAAATACGATTTCATTCTAAATATGGGATGACAACATAAACGGACTACGTCATGCAGGCTTGTAAGAACTTTCCGCCAATTACGATTAGCGCTAAAAATTCCAACACGATCCAATATCTTATCGTTGTTCCATATAAATGTGCTAAATTTATGCTTTGGTGTCTTGTGAAGCAATCGCACGAGGTGTCGAAGTGTCCTTCGACATCGTGCCGACGCCAAATTGTTCCCTCCGAGGTTCACTCTGCCAATTTCACCAAACGACAAACTTTATACGTGCGCGCAATAATAATAACGATGATAACAAAATGATACATACAGAGGATGACAGACAATTTTATAAATTTTAACGATTTCTATACACAGAAAATGGGGCACAATGTTTTCATGCTCGTTACTCGACGATACACTCAGATATAAATGTAATATTTCTTAGTGTAAGTATATGAAATGCAGGGACGGTTATTTCACTTTTTTTTTTTTTTTTGTGGACGGAATCTCATTTAGGAAGTATGCATTTTTTTCTTTTGGATTTGTGCGCACGTTGCATCTTATTCAGTCAGCGGGAGAAGTTGCCGAATTTGCTTACGCGCCAGCGCAGTGAATCGAATTGCGATCGGTTGAAATCGCGAGAAGTTCGATTGCGCGCTGTTCGCGCGTACGCGCGTACGTCGACGACATCTCGAAGACACGCGACGAAATCACGGTGAAATTTAGCAGAGCCCTGAGCCCATTACGTCGATCGGGGCGAAACCTAATTAAAAACTCTCGGATTTGACGAGGCTGTGCTGATGCTTCAGACCCTCGATCAAATCCATGTGCGGCGGCTCGGTCACGTTGACCTTCCGCTCGCGGAAATACTCCCGCCTCTGTTTGTGGCTGTCCACGATCGAGGTGGCGGCCGCCGGCTCGGCGCTTCTATCTCTCGCAGCCTCGACCCGGTCGTCCTGATCGCTCACCTGGACAATACTGTCTGGTATCGGCAGCGGCTTCGCCACGCCGATGCGAACGGTGCCCTTCGGGGCGCCTTTGAGGGCCTGCACGGCCTGGTCCAGTGTCGCGTTCTCTAATGCGATGTCGTTCACAAACAGAAGCCGATCGCCCGGTATTAGCTGCCCGTCGACCTGCGCTACTCCACCGGGCACGAGCGATCGTATTACTATCACAGTTTCGTTGGGGTTCATTGGATCCTAAAAGCGGGATGAGCAGAGAAGAAAAATAGCTCGTAGGATTATTACGAATGTTTCGCGGGGCGCGCGTTCACGCGTGAGGAGAAAAAGTCGTCACACCTGATAATCCAAAATGGAGAACCCAAGGCCCCTCTCTCCTTTAACCAGTTCGATAATTTGCGGCTCGGAGCTCCACATCGCCAGACCGGTCAGCGGTTCCAGCGAGCGCGACTTCATCTTGTTCAGACTCGCGTCGGTCACAGTGGCCGTGGTGGTCGTCGAGGCCAACGAGCCGTCCGACTTTGCCTTCACGAGGCGATCCATCGTCGGCAGCAGGTTCTGCAAGGACCCGCCGAGGATGCTCTGCGTGGGAAGAGCGTAGTAGTTATTAAGCGCCGGCGGTTCTTAAAGCGCGACTGAACGCCGCCCGCTCGTCGTTTACTCACTCTGGTCTGGAAGGCGGCCTGATGTTGAGCGGTGTCGATGGGACAAAGCGGATCCTGCGAGGCGATGTTTCTCCCGCAAACCATGCGCACGTGTATAGGTAGCTCTTTCAACACGCTAACCACTTCCATGTGATTGATGCCCAACAAGCGATAGCCGTTTACCTACAAAAGAGCAGCGATATCGATTTCAGACGCGTCGTTCGCGGGAAGAGCATCTCATCGAGAGGGAGAGGGAGAGAGAGAGAGAGAGGGCGCTTTGAAAGGGGACCGCTAGAATAGAAGATACACGGAAATACGATAACCTCTAGCAGCTCGTCGCCGGAGCGCAGCGTGCCATTTTGTCCGACCGGGCCCTCCGGCAGGATCGAACGTATGTAGTGGTGAGGCCTAACTTCCTGGCCGTTCTCCACGTCGACTGTGCCTTCCAAACTGATGCCGAGGCCGCTGCCTTCGGCGAATTTCTTCAACTGGGCGACCTGCGCGCAAAGAAACACGGTCTCTTAACGACGCGCTCTCGCAACGAGATCTCGCTTATCTCGCGTGAAAAGTACTCGCCACTATTTCGGTGTCGGGTCCGACGATCTTCTGCCACTTCGCTTTGATCGCCGCGCGTATTTGAGGCGTGAGCTCGCTCGACGGGTCGCTCAACAGCGCCTCCACATTGGTCGCCTCGTCCAGCTCGTCCGACGATCTCAGACGCTCTCCTTCCTGCAGAATCGCGCTGTCCACGGTGGTGTGGGACTCGCCCTCCGGCTCTATTTCGGTAGTGGTCTCTCCGTCCTGGCGAAAAAGCGCGAACGCAGATGTATTATTAATTAATACGATTATATACCGTGCGGCGCGCAAATATGACACGATCCGAATAATTAATTAGCGATAACAACGTAATCCCGGGGCCCGCGATTGTTAAATTCACAATGCACGGAGGCAGCGACGGAGAGACGTTAAAATTCCACAGCTGGACGTGCGGAAAATCGATGCGCGATTAATGCTTAATTAATTTCGGAGCCGCATTTCAGGCCGCTAAACGAACGTACCGCGCTCATGGGAAAACTCGGTAGGCTCGTTATTGACGGCGAGCTCGGCTGGGGTCTCAGCTCGCTCGCGGCGATCGCTTGCTGCAGCTGCTCGAACTTTGGTCCACGTAGGTATCGCTCCAAGCAGAGCGACACCGTCTGCCCGGTTCGTCTCAGCACCTCCACGGCCTCGTGATTCGTGTAGCCCTGCAGCGAGTGCCCGTCCACCTCCACTATGCGATCGTTTATCTGGATCTTGTTGCTCAGGTCGGCCGCGCTGCCCTCGCTGATGCTTTTGACGAAAATGCCGGAGAGCTCCTCTGCAAGAATCAATCGGTTTTTTTTTTTCAGCATCCGCTCCGGCAAAGGCGTCGAATCCGATCGATCTGTCCGCGAAAACGCTCTTAAAGTGTCAAAAGTGCTGAACGCAAATTCGCACCGCCGCGCGTCGACCTGTCGTTACCTTTTTCGCAAACGTATCCGGCGATAGTGATACCGAGGCCGTAAATGTCCTTCGTGAGCTCGACGGTGAAGCGCTCCATTTCTGGCAGTGAATTGATATCGAGGGGCTCCATAGTGAGCACCGGCAGATCCTGGAGCTGCACCGGAAGTGGCACCGCCGGTATAACTGGCACCGCGCCAATTGGCATTGGGTTGCGTACCACGTCCATGATGAGACCGGGTCTCGCCTGCGGGCAGAGAGAGAACATTTATCCGCGTCCACCCGCTCTCGACGACGCGGAAGGATATGATTTTTCGCGAGGGCATGAAGGGAGGATTCGCCGCGAGAGAAGAGGCACTCACGTGCATTTCAATGTCGGACTCCTGCGAGTACATGTAGCCGTTGTCGTAGCCCGTGTCGCCGCCCTGCCTGTAGCTCTCCGGCATGCTGTGCACCAGATGCCGGTCCAGCTCGTCCGGATCCCCCAGGATCTTCGTGGGCACGATCGGGGCGTGACTCCCGAGCGCCTGGAAAAAGTATCGGCAAAACTTTACGCGTCCCCGAACACCGCCCACGGTCTGCCCGTCCGCTTCCTCGCCTCGTCGCTTCCCCCCGCGACGGATTTGTAGAAACGAATGCACTTCTCTCGGAGCGTATCGCGCGCGCGGCCGGCGCATTTTCCCGGGGATTCCGAATCTCCGACCGTGTGGAGATTTCAATCTATCCGAATAAATAAAATGTTAACCACCCACAATTTTTTCCGCAAAGCTTGTAGAATCTCTCGCGGAGATTACGGCGGATTGTGCACGGAATAATAATGACGTTATGCATTTTAAGCCGCCGCGCTATTGCGAAGCGACGCACTTTTGTGTTTACTTTTATCGCGGTTGAAAGGGAATCGAAACACACACACACACAAAACAAAAAAAATAAATGCGGGGAAAAAATAAAATTTTTCGAACCGCAAAAAATCATCTCTCCGTTATTTTTTACGGTCAATTGAAAAGTGAGGAGTTTAATTCACAGCGCGTCATCGTGCGTAACGCGTCATCGTGTTTTTTTTCCCCTTTTTTACAGACGCCGGATTATGACGCGAATTTTATCACGCCTCGCCTCGCAGCGAGCCTCGAGAGAATTTTATCGGGCCTCAACAAGTGATATTTACAAATCGGCAAAGCAGAACAGTTTGTTGCGATCGTTTAAAAAACACATTCGTCGAAAACCGCTCGTGCCGCGGCCGATGTGATATTCGCGCGAAGAGCGGCGGGCCGGAATTATGAGCCGCGCGAGATATAAATATCGATCAGGCGCGATAAAAATTGAGAGGCCCCTCCGGAAGCCAGCTCGCTCGCTCTTCCGAATGTCGAGGGGAAAAGTGCACTCGGACGTTTTTATATAGATTTCTTCGCTCCTGCTGAAAGGAGGAAAAATGGAGACACTTTGTTACCGCGAACGCTCTCCCGCAACGTTCAGCCGACACGTCAATTATCGCGGAAACGAGTCGAAAAGTTACAACTCGTAAATTCATTTCGCTGTTTTCTTTGCCGCACGCGCGCGCGCGCGCGCGTGTTTGCTCCGACCGCTGCTCGCCGTAAGCAAACAGCTCGCTCGTTACAAAGGATAAAGCCGGGAAGTCTCGCGAGGCGTCTTTCCATCGTCGGGATTTCAATTTTAATCCCGGCAACGGCGAAATAATTTCCATCGCGCGCGCGATGCCGAGCGTATGAGAAATTCCGGAATCCCATCCGTCTCGGGAGCGCCGCCGCGGTTACCGCTGGAATAATAGAACCATCACGTCAGAAAATACCTCGTGCATTATTCATAATCCCCGAATTACAGCCGGTCCTCGGTCGCCGGCTCGCGGAACCCGCCTCGAGAATCCCGGCGCATTCTTCCGCGACGTCGTCGTCGTCGTCGTCGTTCGTCGACGCTGCGCTGCGCGGGACGCGAGGGTATCGATCGCGCGTTTACGGTCATCGAATCGGCAAATGTGTGTCGCGATTAAACAGAATTTCGCGCGCGAGCTCCGGCTCGCACGACGGTCAATAAGGGCGCCTTGACAATGACGTACGCCGAGCGCCGGGGCCGTGCGCCATCAATCTCGAGTCACGACGAACATCCGGAGTGCCTCGCATGGGTATTTAATGGCTCGCATCGCGCAGCTAACTCGGCCACCTTAAATATGTAGCCCGGCCCGCAGGAAATGCTTCGCGTCTAATTCGCGCCGGCTGACAAATGGACTGGGTTTTTTTGCGCGCCGAGTATTTTCCGCGCTCTTGGGCATTCAGCGGACGGGATTATGCGATTCTTACGGAGAAAGAATGCAACATGTTCTTAAGAGAACTGCATTACAAATTGTGCAGCCGGCAAAGCATTAAGCGCGCGCCAGCGGAGCAAGGAAATCCACATGCTACCGCGTCGCGTTTTGCGCTGCTCCGGTCACAAATAAATTACAGAGAGCCGAACAAAGGTAAATTAAAGTGTCATCAGCATTTGTATTACTTTCCATCCCTTCGAGCGAAACAAAAATTGCGCTATTGCTGAAAACGTAGAAATGAATATGATAAATAAATCCCGTCAGCGGGCCAAGATTGCGCTTTCGATTTAAATTTTAATTTTCTATACCAATCTTTTGCGCTTTCCCCGCGCGTATTTTCGAGCTTCCCCGCGAATTGCGTTGAAGAGAAAGATAGCGAACAAGAGATAGCCCATTAAAGGTAATGCAGTTGGCTGGCTGTTGAAGCCACCCGCCGATCCACGCCGGGGAGCGGAATAAAAGGCGAAGCGCCGGCGCGCTAATTATTCGCGATCACGAACGCGGGATTGCGGAAGTACCTGGTAATCCGGCGAAGTTGGCTCCACAGGTCGCGCGACGACCAGTCGCACGTGGGTGCCCGATTGCCGTAAAACCGCGGCGACCTGCTCGCTTCCCATCCCACGCAGATTGACATCGCCGATCTGCAATATGTGGTCCCCGCTCTGGAGTCGATTATCCTGCCGGCACACAAGAGGCGCGCTTTAATTTCCGCTGTCATCCGACGGGCAAATGTTGGCGTGCGAGATTTTTCTGCGCCCCGCGCGCGCGCGCTCTTTGTTTTCGAGACGAATGAACGGCCTTAAAGTCGGCGCCGATTTCAAACAGCCCCGAGCGTGCTATCGCGTACTCGTGTGTGTCACAAGTGTGTTTGAAGGTCCGGCGATCATTTGACAAATTAGGTTAAACCTAGTTGTATCAACATTTATCTAAGTGATAAACGTAAAAATATCGATTACGTTCGAGTTGTTGAAAATTGATCTGAATTCGAGGCCGATCGCCTTTGCACGCTCGTAAGAAAGAAATTTATTCGTATTACATGTAAGTTGCGGGCCATCGTACTTGCAAATAAATGTAAGCGCAAGACTTCGGCGCAAGCGAGATAAATAAGAGAAAGGATAAAAGCTGCACGCGATGCTGCTAAACCTTATGATTAACTGAGTAACTTATTAAAAGTTAAACCCATGATTAATGAAGAGATTTACATGGTGAAAGTCACGTCTGCGATAAAAGCAGTGATAAATTAACCAAGCGCCGAGCTTTGTAATTTGTACAGAATTGATGTCAATAAACTTTGCATGCGCGAAAACTTGAAATTACGCCGGCAACAGTTGTATCAAAAGTCGCTGAAAGGATAATTGAAAAATCATCATTCGAACATTTCGCAAAGTTTCGAACGCTTCTAACAACTAGTATTGTTAGCCCTCAATTCACTTACGCGATCGGCAACGCCTCCCGGAAGAATGGTTTTGACGACGACGCCGGTGCTGCGCCCGCCGATGATGCCGAATCCAAGACCGCTGCCATCGTTGATAAGATTTATCACTTCAACTTGAGCCCATTCCGTATTCAACTGCGAAAGAAAAGATCGCATCTGAAATCCCGTCCTTTGTGAAGAACCTTTAATAACATTACGGAATGCTTCATTCTCGTTCGAACGACATAACGGACATAACGGAATTCGAACTGTCGCATTTCCATCGAACTCTCTTATTACTTTCATTGCAGCGAGCCAATCAAGTAATTAATTTCTCTGCAAATTCTTCTCCTTCTTAGAATTTTTTTGCTTAAGATTTTCCTCTTGATAAATCACTTTGAAATTAATTACCGACGGAAAATATGCGAGGGAGAGAATAAAAATTATATCTTTCTTCCACACTTTTAGCTTCAAATGCAATCTATCGTTATTTGATTATTCCGCAAATACGCTCGCCGCTTATAGATTCCGTTCCGAGCGTCTCGAAATTTACGGCCAGATTTAATCATTGTTTGAAAACGTTATTTTTAACGACACACATTCCGCGCGCCGCGGAGAATCGGCGGATTCCGCGATCAATTTGCCTCGCAAAATCTTCCAGACACTTTCTCTCGGATGTAATTCTCGCGGATGCACGCCGTCCTTCGCACGCATTCTTAATTCCGACGTCGCTAACGACCGTAACTCACACCGCAAAAAGAAAGAGCTAATGAAGATAAAGCACGGATGGTGGAAAATGAGGGTAATGATGGCGCGCAGCATCCGCCTTGCCGCAGCATATTTTAACGAACTTAACGAAACGAACAAGATTACTCCAAGGGATTCTAAGTAACGATGAGAAATTCGATTTGTCATGTCAACATCTCAGGTAAAAGCTGACTCGACTCCAAATGACACACCTTGCCGCCTCTTAAAGCGCGCTGAAACTCCTCGAGCGTATCACTATTTTCCAAGTCGCGAAAGTGCTGAACGCAGCTGCAAAGCTGCCGAGGAGGCGAGTAAGAAGTGAAAAAAAAAAAAAATAACGTTTGAACGCAAAATACGAAGGGATGGATCGTGTCGAGCATGCGAGCCGCTTTCTTCGCCTTTTAATCGACAGCTCGGAATAATTGTCAATAACTAATTTATAATATATAAAATCGATAGAGCCGGCGAATAGGAGCGACGCATTATTCTCCGCTCGCGATATATCAGGTCATTAAATTTGATTGGCTCCCCCTCAGTGCTTGCTTCGTTATCAGCCACAATTAACGAGCTATTTAATATTAATGTCCCGATTTCCGATGGCTCTTCGCGGGGTGCGCAACAACGCGCGCCCTCCGATGAATCGCGGCCAAGATATCCGATCAATTTTTCATCGCGGGATATTTCGATGCTGCCGCGGCGTTGTCGAAAAATTAATAGGATTTAATTGTGCCATGGATTTCTGCCTCGCCGAAGCGCCGGCCGCTCTCGACGCGATATTACAGCCCTATTCACGGCGCGGGGGAATAATCCCTCCATTTCCGGGACGCTCTAAAATACGCGAAGAGAGGAAGTCGCGAGCGGTAGACGCGGGAGGGGGGGACGAAGACGAGTTGTTATCGAAGCGAAGTTTGAAATCCGCCGGCGGAGTCTCTCGAGCGCGTTTCGCCGCGCGGCGTTCCAATTTACATGCCGCCGACACGTCAAACAATCGGCCGGATTTAATTAAAACGCCGTTTTTCAAACGCGGCGTTCAGACGCTTCCCGCGGGATCGGCTCGCTAAAACGCGGACATCCGATTAATCTGATTCTTACGATCGGCTAATAGCGCCGCGCGAATGTGTATCGAGCATCGAGGGCGGATGCGGCATACCGCGCGGTCCGAGAATTCCGGCGGCTCTCGCGCGCATCGCGAAACGGGAAGCTGCGAGAAGCGGAGAGACGGACGGACGTGCGGAGCGAGAGAAGGCCGAGGGTGATTTGCATTGCGGGTGTTGTACAAACGCGTGCCCGCGGCGTGTGTGCGCGCTCGCACCAATGTGGGATTAAACACGCGGCCGGACGAACACGCGGCGCTTGCCGGCGCAAAGCGCGAATCAGTCGCGTCAGTCAGCGTCGTCGAGGGCGACACGGGTGTTTCCTTCGGAGAGGCGAGTTTCGCCGTATCCGATAATCGTACCTCGCAGGCCCGGGATTAGTTTCGTCGGTAAGTAAAGAGCGAAGTTAACGGCGGAAGCGTCGTTTCTCTCTCACGCACACACGCGCGCAGTCGACCGTCACGAAAGCGGAAGAGGAAGGCCGATAATCAATCGCGTCCCTTAGTGCCGAATATATTACGCCGACGTTCTTTCTATTCTCGAAGACGGTAATATTAGTTCTCGCGATCCATTGCGCTTTAAATGAAAACTGTGACTTCTCATTCATTCGAGGGAATTTCGAGCGATGAAAAATTGATCGGACATTTCAAACATTTTCAAACGAGAGACTGAATATTCTCCAGATGCAATTGTACTTTTGAAAGGAATAATTTCTCTATGAAAATATTTAGCTAAGATACGAAATTGATGAGACAATCTAAACACTATTACACATTTGTAACGTAATTTACATGATGTATCGGTGGTTCGCGAAGAGAAACGGCCATTAATAATGCACGAGACAAGAAACACTTCGCCATCGCGACGGGTGATAAAATATTGAGCGTTCTGCCAATTGAAATTATCGATTCGATAAGTTGCCCAGAATTCGGGAGAACAAAAAAAAAAAAAATAAACTTGATAAAATATACTCCGTTAAATAATACGTATTGACGGGCGCGCAATAATCAGCAATAAAGTTTCGCGATCGATCGTCCCTTTCGAGTCGCGCACACCATCGGACAACACCGGAAGTTCCCGTCCATAATTCTATTCTTATCTCAATGTCAGGAAAGTCACCCACCCTCGATCAATCGAGGCACGACATCTGTTTAATGGCACAGCGGGCGAATAAACGCGCCGTCGCATGTGCACTTTCAGAAATCGCCGACGGCGAGCTCGCTTTTCCGCGCGCACGATTCTCGACCACCGCGAACTTCATGAATATTCAACGCGGGGCGAATAATAATCGGATAAATTCGAGAATCGGATAAAATTTTAATTTTTTCCAACGTACTTTCGCGAATTGAAAAATATCCAGCGATCGTAAACTTCGTTTCCACCGCGATTTTTTCCCGCGAAGGGGGGAAAAGGGAAATATCGAGTGGCAGTTAATACCGGGTCAAACTCGATTTCAATAAACCGAAGCCCCACCTCGCACTAAATTCCGGTTGAATTGTTTATGAGCCACTCTCTCGCCACCGACGATATCGGCGTACGATACAGCGGGGCGTTGCGCGAAGTTTGCGCAACGGCGAAAGTGTTAATATTGCAAATCGTTCCATTTTCATCGGATAAAATTGATCGCGGCGGAATCGCGCGGCGCGCAAAACGGCAGATCTAATCCGAAATCGGCGCGGGGCGAAGGGGAGGGTGTCAATTTGTTACGATTAAGCGTACCGTCCGAGCGGCACCGCCGCGAGGCACCCGCAGTTTCGCGCCGGTAATGGGCGATAAATTTTAAAGATCACGCGAACCTTGCCTGCAGAGAAGCGGCACTGCGCCCGGGAGGGCGTCAGCGAAACTCTTTACCGATAATTCTATTTCCGTCATTGCCGCCGCCGCTGCCGTCGCTCTTCCCATTATCGCGCCCGAAGACAGGCGCGAGGAGGCACGAGAAAAGGGCAGACGCGGGGCGAACGGCGAATTTATCTGTGGAAAAAAACCTCGATCTAGACGCATCGAATGTCGAGGAATCGAGAAAAATCGCCGCGGAAGCCGTAATTCGGCGCGTAAATCAGCGCGGCTGATCGAAAGCTCGCTCGGAAAACCGATAGCTTCGAAACGCACCGCGCAATTAACTATTTAGAATTGCTTTTCGGGATATGTTTAACGGTCGCGCCTGCATAATACATTAACACATTACTTTAATTACGCAAATATACAATATGTTAATTAAACATGTCTAACGAATAATCAAACATATCGCATGACGGGCAAAATATCATGTTTTCGTTAATTAACGTTGAAGAAAGCTTCAACAGTGTTCGCATCGATAAACTTCGATAAATGTGATCGAACGTGTATAAAGAATTCTGAAAATCCTCTTAAACGTAGTTGAAAATAAATATCCTGCAGAAATACTGTTCGCGACAATCGATATAAGAGTACAAAATAAATATTATCGGCGGGAGCGTATTGCCTGGAGATGCCGGCGAGGCTGCACCAATAATTCTATTTCCGTCGTAGCCGCGCCACTGTTCCTATTATCGCGACAGAAGGCAGAAGGCTATGAGGGGGGGAAAAAAAGAGAGAGAGAGAGAGTATCGTGGGAAAGGTGCCCAAATGAGGCCAATTATGCCGAGGCCATCGATCGGGATTTTATCGGCGTGTCGCCACCACTCGGTCAGCTCCAGCGCAAATATTTCTTTCGCGACGAGAGGGGGCGCTGAGTTTGCCATGTAAGATGATCCCGACTCTCCGAGAGCTATGAGCTACTGAGCAAAGTAAAAAGGCTGTCGAGAGAAGGGGGAGTATGCTTATTAAGAGTCAATGGAGAACATCCTTTTACGCGGAAGAGGATTTCAACACAATAGTCTTTGCCGGGAGAAAAGAGAGATCTTTCGGGGGATCTTTCGTTCGAGCGAAGGGAAAAGAACAATGGAACGAGAAACTGTTGAATAGCGGTAATAAAACGTGATCACAACTCGCAGGGAAGGGTATATCAGTATAATTTAACTCCATTACCGCGCTTTGGACGATCACTCGTACATCGCTCGCGAGATATATACGAAGAATTATCGGCAAATGAAATTTCAGAGCTCTTACTTCCGATTGTCATATTTCACGATTCACGAAAAATCTCTTTCACTGGATTTTCAGTCGGACAAATGTTACCGAAGTTTGCAATTAAAGAGTCGCAGAGTCAATGAAGAAAACACCCTTTTGCATATAAATAACACATTTGGAAAATATTTTGGAAAACAAAAAATACATTATTTATGAAAAAAAAAACAATTCAATTATATTCCACAAAAATCATTTGTTAAAGATATTTTCAAACAACAAAATACGTATTTATATTCATTTTGCGAAAAAGTTATTTACCAGACTTTGACTCTCAACCCTTTGATTAATAATCATTCCATAGTTGAAAGCACAAAGCGAATCTAAATGAGCCAATATTAAAGATCTAAAAGGGTTCTCGCTAATTATAGGCGTGATAAACGCGTCGTGCAAATTTCCCACATTTTTTCAACTCCGTCTCCGGATTTTTAAATCTCAAAAAAATAAGGAAGTCAATTGCACCTTTGCAAGAGATGTGAACAAAAATGATGACTCACCACCATGTCAGAGCCACTCTTGGAGGCGTCGCTGACGGCGGAGGGGCTCCTTTCGATAACGAGGCCTCCGGGCACCGGTGTCGAGGTCGGCGTAGGTGTTGGCGTGTGCGTAGGCGTCGGGGTCGCCGCCGAAGCGGTGCTGGCCGGTTGGCTTGACTTCGGGGTCGGCGCCGATGTAACGACGGTGGACGACGCTGACACCGATTGATCCCTGTCGGAGCTTGTCTGGTTATTCCCAGCAGCGGCACCGCCGCCGCCGACGATGGACGACGCTGCTCCTGCGGCCGCTGTCGAACTCGAACCACCGGACAATTCATCCGTTGGCAAAGAGCTCCCAACGTCTGTCGACACACAGCAAGCGTGCGCACTCGTATACGAATCCTTTCCATTATTTAGTCTTTTCAGACGAGACGTGTCCATATATCAAGACGGATGAAAAGGCATGAAAAGTGTTGTGAAGTCTCGTGGAAAAAATTTTTCACGCGATATTTTCCGACGAGAATTTTTTCGACACACAATAGAAACGAATTATTTAATAGATATAAAATTGTATGAATTAGACTGCGCTACTTTTTCGCTCTTACAATCCTTTTTGTTGGCAGTGTGTGTGCAATGTGATAAATAACTTTCACACAGACAAATACTTTTTGAGTAATCACGACTTTTTCTATCTTTTAATTCTTTCAATGCTGGTATTTTTGTTTTAAAAGTTTCCAAAAAATTGGCTTGGACGCACAAATTTGTCGAAATGAATTAAAGGAAGAATGTGTAAGGCTAACGCTTGTTGTAAGAGAGTTAGCATGTTGGATACCGCGCAAATTCTGAAATTTAACTTTGCAAAATTGTTAGCACGTTTATAAAATTCCGCTGGATAAAGTAATAAAAGTTAACATTGGTGAAGCGATATCCTCGTGAAGCTGCGTTATCCGCGCCGTGTACACGCATGGACAATCCAGTACGAGCTTGCTGTTGCATATGCAACGGCCGGGCCAGAGAAAAAGTTAGCGAAACTAATTTAACTCTCCGCGACGTGAGAAATTCACAATGAAAATCAAAATTTATGCTGACATGGACAGTGTTGTCGAGAGAATGCAGTCTTAGGCAATATTTCTATGACATCGTTTTATCACTCGCGCGTCCTTTGCAAGGGCAAAGTATATCTTGACCAAAAAAAAAATATACATATAAATTTAAAATCGAAATCTGTGATAATATAAACCGTTTGAATATCACAAATATCGCAGAGATTTTCCGACCACCGGATTTTGTTTGACAATTACAGCGATATCGCAATCAATCGTAATACGAGTAGTATCGAAGCTCGAGTGTCTCGCTATAAATAAATCGCATTTATCTCTCAGCGCAGAAATACAGTGCCGAGTGATAATACAATAAAGATAAAAGAAAAAAAAAAAAGAGGAAACTGATGAATTACGCTTATAAATTGCAATAAGAGGCATCGCCGACGTTTGCTGATAATTTTCGGGCAGAAATCGGATAATCGATACGTTCTCGACGGAGAAAGGAAATAATTTGAATAGTTGAAAAGGATTTGCAACAATTATGTTGCACGCCGTCTTCTTCGCGAGTCGAATGTAAAAGTGCCGACACCGGGCGTTTCATTCGCCAATGTAAGCGGATTCTGTTCGAGATTGCAATTACCTTGGGCGCTTCTTGCTACGACTAGCTCAACCAGACCACGGGCCTTCTGAAGAATCGAGATCGCCTGCTCGTGGGAGATGTTCGAGTCTAAAGGCTGCCCATCGATCGCCAATATTTGATCTCCCTCTAGCAGTCGGCCGTCGCTGAAACAGAAAGCGCGCGTTCAATAAATGCATCGATCGATAAGCGGCACGCGCGAATCGATGATGAGGCGCATGAAGAATGCTCGATTATTATCACTTGCGAAAATGGTGAATAAATAAAAGCGGATCCGCCGCGAGATCGACCCGCGGCGGATATTTCGTATCCGCGACAGGCGCAAAATGGCATACGCGCCAATCAACCATATATTGTTTGCCATTGACATTTCCGGCCGTCGCGCGCGCGTCCGCGCATTTCGAATCGGGTCGCTAAGTAATCAAGAGGGTCGATCGATAATCGACTTATCTAATAAACGCGATATACATATTATGCAAATACGCTCCGCTAGGCGCGCGGTCGTAATCGAATCGGATTCACGAGGCTCCCGCGTCGACCGCGCGCGTTATCAGATCGTTCGCAATTTTTAATCGGCTCCGCGGCTGGTGTCGGATTACGAAAACTTGGGCACTTCCGGGCATCCCGTCGCTCGCGTCGGCGCGACTGCGCGTAATTAGCTGACGCTCTCGTTTCGAGACTCTCTTTAACGACGCGCGTCCACGTCGCGCCGTTAAAACTCCAATCCCCGCTTTATGCGGCTGATATTAAACAAAAAGACCCCGACTCCGCTTGACAAGAGAGAGAGAGAGAGGACGGGAGAGAGCCACGGCCGATACTTGGAATTTTATCCCGCTATCCCGTGTATATTTATGCATAGCGCGGATTATCGTACTTGCAATGTAACATCGCTCGCTTCGCGTCGCAACGAGATTTTGTTGTCACGTACAGAATAAGACGACGCGCTCTGGCGGTATGATACAATGTTGGAATATCGCAAAAACTCCGCAACCGTCCAACTCCCTTTGCAACTGCGGTGATTAAATTTTTAATGAAATCACCAACGTCGCATTGCGCAAAAATTTTTGCGATGCGCACATTAGAATTAATTAATACCGGATAATTAATTCAATGGGCAACTCGATCTATCGCGCAGCCTCTCCCTCCGTTTTCTTCCCCAATCTGTAATTTGTGTCGCATTACAAAATACGGAAAATAGACAAATTGCGTGTCCTTTAAGACTCTCGTTGCCTCATTACGGGACATGTTAAGTTGTGACGTCGGAAGCGAAAAATTATGTAAATCTTCTTACATATATGACGGTGTACGTCGAAATAAATTGTTACGTAGTCACGTTCGATCAAAAAAAAAAAAAAAAAAAACAAAAAATATCGAAAAGTCCTCCATTATCCTGCCTCGGCGAATGTACATAATTTAATGCAATACGTCCTTCATTTTTCGCGAAAATTGCCTCTTTGACAATTGATCAAGATTTACAGCAATTTATTAATGCGCAGACTGAAAAGAGAGAGCGAATTGATATCGACGCGTAACACAAGAGAGAAATTTGGCACGATATTTCACTTCTGACGTCATAATGCGAAATGATTGCAGCGGAGGAAACCATAAGGAGCAAATCTACAATGGAATAAATACTAGATAAGAAACTGCGAACTCAGTTATTCTCAAATTATCCGTGTCGTAAAGAGATTTTTATATTACCCGAGCGAGGGAGGGAAGGAATGGAAATTCTAAAAATACACGAAGGCGGATATCGGATAATCCGCGGAGAATGGATGCGACAAGGGATAGAGATGGCCGTAATGGCGAGGTATTTCGTGCCGAAAGTAGCTTCCGTCGCCCGTTGGCGGACGTCGAGTTAGCAGCATATCGATATCACTTGGCCGAAGTGGAACAAGTCGGCCGCGCGTCGTACGGGCGTCCGCAATCTGTCGAGAAATCCAAACGGCACGACGACGGAGGCGGAATCACGGGCGACAGCACGATAAAGGGAGTTTTGACAAGCGACAAGCCCCCCCGATATGTGACCAATTAGATTTCTCCGCGGCGGAGAGTTGGACGACACGGAGAGGAAGTTCCGCTTGCGCGAAGTGCACCGTGTCGCAAGTTCCGCGCAATTAAACCGTGGCTGCCACACGAGGTGTCCTCAAACGAGAATGAGAGTTCGTCCGCGGCGAACGAAAGTTGTGCGAGAAATTAATTAACGGAAGCACAGGCCATTTTTTATGCCGCGCGACAGTTTTTTTTTTTATTATTATAAACACAAGTCGCGCGTGACTCGTTGAGCGCGCGATTCACGGAGAGACGAGTCTTTGAATAAAACTCGCGATTGGTCAAACTTTTTAAGCTCGTGAAACTGTAGAGAAGAAAAAAAAGAAGAAAAAAATAGCTCGGAGTAAGAAATGGCATGGCTCTTTCATTACTTAGTTCCTCACGAGCCTTTATACTGTTACTAGTTTTTATCCTCGAAATTTGACGACACTGTGTGTAGAGCGTTTGAGAAGCGACACGCTCTGTATCATAGATAATGGAAGCCGAAGTAAGAAGCACAATAGCCTCTTGAACAGACGGCAGCGCACGGGCGGGGGAAATAAAGGGGGGTCTTGTCAAATTTAATTTGAGGAGTGCAAGCGGAAATCCGTCTTTCACGTTAAAGTTGAAATTCGCAGATCCGTCGAGGAGAACGCTCTATGCATCTCGCACGGCAACCCGGCAATGTGTTCTATTTTCCCAGTTTTCCACCGACGGGACAAAGGACGCGAGAAATAACATTTCTTAAGCAACGTCGAAAAGAAAGCGTGTCGAATGACGTAGGAACAATTTCGTTGATTGAGTTAGGATTGTTGGGAAAATTGCCCCTTTAATTCTATTCGCGTCCCAACGAAACGCAAAATTTATTGCTCGGAAATCGATGAAGCCGCAGCGGCGGGGCGGGAAGAAGGGGGGAGGGGGAGGATCCCTCGTCATAATAATCTGAAACATCGTTATCCCCGCTATCGCCAGCACGCGCCCTTGTTTATCGAGTGGCGTATTCACTCGCGACATTTGGCATAGCACGCAAAGGCTACGCACACACACACACACACTCACACACCGGTGCTCTGGCATTTGGCGGCACCGATGGCGGTCACGTTACCCAATTTCCGTCAAAGCGAATTTCGATGTCCGCGCTGTCGCTAATGATACTGACCGGGGGCTCGCCTCGGTCACGGTAATCTACGTTCCGATTTTCCGCGGTCTACGCGGCCGCCTCCGACAACAAGATCGAGTGTCGACGAAAGAAAAAAAAAAACATGTATCCGATAACGATGTAAAAACGTGCGACAAACTTGGGATCGCGCTCTCGGGAAGAAAAACGACGAGGGGAAGAAATAACAAAGGGATGGGCGGCGGATCGATCCGCCATCTTCCGAACCCTAATATTGGTGTGTCGAGTGAACGGAATGTGAAAAGCGATGTCCGAAATATGATAAGCGCGGGCTTAAGCATGATTGCCCCGCGTTTCATTGCCAAAATGAGACGTCCAAGGCTGCTTCGTTCCCCTTCCGTGAGAAAAACTAACAAGAAACTCCTAGCAAACTCTTCTCTAGTAACGTAAGCGACGCGAGATTTATTTTCCGTCGCGTGTACGCCACTTGCACTAATATTATCCACCTTACTATCCATCCTGCGTATTACACATGGCACGATATAACGAGCGTTCTTTCTATAGGCAGCGCGCAAGAACGTTACTGGGTCAAGCAAACAAATCGGGAACTTTATTAACATGTTTCACGGAAATTTGCTTAGCCGGCCAAATTGATCCCGATGATTTATCTTTCGGAAAAGTTTTCGGGGAAAGAAATTGTGCGCGAAAGAATCCGAAAACAAGGAACGTAACACGCGTATATAAAGATATAAATAGAATCCGGATCAACTGCTGGACGAACGGAATACACACCGATATTATTTGCGGAGAAACCGCATGGTTTATGTATAGTTTAGATATTTGTATACAGACTAATAACGATAACAACAATAACAACAACATCCACTGCATGTTATGGAAAATATGAAACATGTAAGCTCGTTGAAATGAAAATAGATAGCAGCGAGGTACGAGCGACGAATGAAAATAGAAGCGAATTAGTCGATTAATAGATGCGTTATCGAGCTCCGGAACAGTCATCGTTGAAATCGTAATAAAGGCGCTAACGGAAATCCGCCCCTCCCCCCCCCCCCTCCCCTGCCTCTCTGCAGCAGGTGGCGTATAATGTAAAGGCAGAATGCAAGAAGCGATTAAGTTAATGCAGGAGACAGCGGGTGCAGCGAGAGAACGGCGCGCGAGTGGGTATTCTCGTACCCTGTAAATTATGAATGAGACGGATGTCGCGCGCGGGATCCGTGTGTGCCGAGCTCTCAGATTGCTTTCGCAGCGCGCCCCCACGCCTCAAAAGCGTACGAGAGAGGCCGAGTGGCCTTCGCGTGTGAGGGTGCGGTCGGCGAGGCGAAAGGACGGACCGGTGGCGTTCGCCGGTGTAGAGAAAGCACAGCCGGCGACGGATGCCGTCCGCCTGCGAGGCGGATTTTAAAGCCGCGCTTCTTAACACACGGAGAGGACGAGAGGCGTGCGCGACGGTCGCACAGCGTCGTAAAATAAAAATGCGCGACGTCATTTCCCGTCCCTGGCCCTCTGTTTATCTCCGTCATCTCCGGCTGATGCCTCTCGTAAACGCGAGGCAACTTTGAAGTAAAACGAAGTGCGCCGTAAGAGTGCCGAGTGCCGGCTCGTTTAAACGAAACTCGTGCCCTCTCGTGCCCTCTCGTGCCTCCCGGCGCAGATCCGGCGAGAATCGGCCGCGCGGATAACTTTTCGGAGTGAATTATTTGTGCGAGCGCGCGCACACGCATTGTGATCGGTTTCGGGGAAAATTTAAGATCCGATGTCGCGAATGCGGAACGTCCAACTATCAGCCATTGTTCCGCCCGGCGAGAGAGATAGTTACATGGCTGGCTGGCACACTAAACTTTCGCCGAATTTCCAAACTGTTGGCAGAACCAGCTCGGGCTCATACTTTGTATGAAACCCGTCCATTATGCAAAATCGCCCACGTAAATTCCGCGGAAGCTGCAAGTGCTACAAGATAATTACGGAACTAGCTTAAAC